TGGCGCGCCAAAATACCACGCCGCACTTGCAAAGCGATGGGCGGAGCGTCGGTGGGGGGAGGCGGGAATCAAAGTACGCAAACACCGAGTCCCACTTTTTTTATTCCGACAATACTCCCCTTCAAAGTTTCGCAAGCTAGAGACGCAGACAACGAGACACACTGCGTCTCTAACCTCCCAAACTTCAAATGACTATATCACGGCTCCTAGAAGGCCTAGAAAGTTGGTTTTTCGACAGAATTACAGGAAATTTTCTGCTCTAGAAGGTGATGGTCGTACCCCCATAGTTTTACATGCCGCTACGGTGCACACAAAGGCAGCTTTCTCTACCAAGTGCACAGTGCATGGAGGCGCTTCGATCGGTTTAGCGAATAAGGACGATTTCTCATGATGGGCAAGAATAGTCAGAGAGTGGACCAGGTCCCAACATCTGAAACAATTGTTATTAATTTAAAATTTTTTTTCAAATTCAAAAAAATCGATATCCGTTTTTTTCGATTTTTGACTGTTTCGAAGCGAATTTTGGTCAATTTCAAGCCAAAAATTCGAATTTTCAGGTTAGAATGACCATAGAAACATTAGAATTCAAATAAAAATACGATTCCTGGACAATTTGAAAAAAACATTTTTTATTGAAATTTTTCAAAAATCTGAAATTCTGGGATATTTAGTGTTTTTAGGGTGTTCTGGACCTGAAAATTCGAATTTTCTGCTTAAAATCGATCAAAACTAGATGGAAAATGGTCAAAAATTGGAAAAATTTTCGGAATTTTTGGAATTTTAATTTTTATTAAATTTTTATTGAATTTCTTTTAAATTTTAATGCGATAAAAAAGTAGCCTAAACAGCTACTCACTCATCGCACAAGTCCGCATCACAAATTTTACAAAAATTCGCCGCTCTATGAGCCGGATTCTCATCGCATGTGCCATCGTTGCTCCTCGCCTTCTTATCTCGCTTCGTCGAGCTCATCTGCCGCTTTCGGAAGCGTTCCTCCTCCTTCATTTGCAGAATTGTGAAGTTCTTTTTGAGTTTCTTCACGTCTCCGCCAGGAATCGACGTCGAAATTCGGTCAAATGGGCAGTGAATGGTGTTCTTGTTGGTGCCGGCGATTTTTCGAATGCATTCTGTGCACAGTGTGTGACCGCATTCTGAAGAAAAAAGTATTCTTTTTATTGAAAAAAAATTCGAAAAAATTCAGAAAAATCGCTTCAAAAAGCATACAAATTGAAGAAATTTGAATTCCCGCCAAACCTGAAAATCCTCGGCCACCTGTTTCGGCGGGAATTCAAAATTCGTCGCTTTTTCAGCGATATTTTTGAATTAAAAAAAATTTACCACTCAAAATCCGGGGAATCAAGTCGTCGTCTTCGGTGAATTCTCGCTCGCAGATCTGGCACAGCGCCAGACCGGTCCGCAGATTTTGCATTGAGAATTCTGAAAAAGAACACATTTTTTTTTGAGTTTTGCTAAACAAATTATGTCAATCAGAAGAAGAAGAAAAAACAAAAAACCGGATATTTTTGAGATTTTACGGGTTTTGGCAACGAAAACTCCAAAGTTTGAATTTCCGTGCATTTTGTCGTAAGATATGGTGTTTTTAGCTGAAAAACTGGTTTTCTGCCAGAATTTTGATGGAAAATCGACTTTCCCAGTGTTTTTCACCCCCTTGAAACATATTTAAATCCAAAAAACTCGAAAATTCAACTTTCTGTCATTTGTCGTGGGATATGGTGTTTTTTTTAATTGGTGGTTCTGAAAATTTGAAAAATGAAAAATCCCGCTGAAAACCTCAGTTTTGTCGCTGGAAAAACGAAGAATTCAAGCTGAAATTCTGGAATTTCTAGGTAAAAACAAAGAAAATTGTGTCAATTACTTTTTGAAATTTTGAACACCCGCGCCAAATGTTTTAGCGATAGAGCGAATTTGCATTTTTTGAGTTTTACAAATGAGACCCCGCAAATTCCGGAGAAAAAAATTTCCGGGGAATNNGTGGNTNATTGCTGNTACTACTTATCAGGTAGGCTTAAAATTCAAATTTACGTATTTAATTTTCTATAATTTNNTTTTTAGCAATCAAGTGTCTGAACGGGGGGGACAATAAGATGGCATCTGGTTTTCGTTCAACTGGAAATNATAAAAATAGTCTTCCGACACGTGGCACCAAACGGACTGCTTCTGAAACCTTTCCAACTCCTCCTTNAAGTACATCACCACCATCGAAAATGAATTCAAACGGACACTTTTCGAATGCTCACTATTCAAATCAAGAAAATTTTGATTTTTCAATGACGGGGAATTCCCATCAATATTGGATGAACCCAGATCAGAATACGTGGATTTACGGATACAATATGGAACAACAAATGGAACAACCAGTCATTAATCAATGGAATATGCAGAATTTCGGACATCCAACGAATTTGAATTATGAGCAATATGGAAATCCAAATAACACAATT